GGGAGGCGGCTGCGGGGCGCGCCGGGCTGCCCGGAGCGGGGGACAGTAGCGCCCTGGGAAGGAGACGGCTACCGGGGGACAGAGCTCGTGTTTGGAGTACGTCGAAACATGTGTATATATATACACATACGTATATATGTCAAAAATAGGAGAATCGGGTCGGTTATAAAGATCCCTCTGTGGGAAGGAGGCAGCGCACCTGCGGTTTGTAAATACCAAGACCTAGAGGGTTACATCGCTAATAACCGTGCTGAAGTGACACTTCGACATTTTTCATTCATCTCCTAACAATACTAAAAAAATGTATTTTATGATTCACAGATGTTTTCAATCTAGTGCATGTGGTGGTTGAATAAACTTAATTTTCTCCTTTTTTCAATTAAAAGGTTATGTTCAGTGTAATGTTCAATATCTTAAACGATTCAAAAATTCTCATATAGCTGAGAATTCATGTATATTTATAAATGGACATTACCCCTATAGCATTAAGTACTAAGTAGTCGTTTTTCCTAATAACTGAGCTTAATTTATCAGTTTCTGGAAAAATACAATTTCAGCTTATATGAACAAACCATCTAGTAAAGCGACATCGTTTTGTCTACTGCTTGTTAAAAGAAGCAGTAAAAATTTTCTTACATTTGAGTTCAGTGTTTCTTTATGAAGAAGATTGTTTTTATGTTGCACATTCTTTGTTACAGCTAACTAAAGCAGCTTTTACAACCTCAGCTATTGGATCAAATACTTGGGGTAGCATTAGATTTTGTTTTTTCTTTCCTTGGCACAAGTGTTTGTTTTTTCTTTCTGTGTATGAAATGAAACCTCTTGAACACTAAAGTGCAAACCAATGAAGGTTGGTAGAATAAAGGCTCTTCATAGAACTTGTCAAAACTGAGTATTTTTAATAACAGTTTTTAGTACAACAGCAAAATACTGAAATGTTTGAATCCTGAGGGTTTTCACAGAGCTGGATTCATCTCCCTTAAGTTTTAATGACACACAGCTTCCAAAAAAAGAAAAGAAGTAAGAACTGAGTAGATCAGGGAGACAAAGCACATAACTGGAAGGAACAAAGTTAACTCACTGTAGTATCTTCCTCTTATCAAGAGTTATTTAACTATTCACATGCATCTTTTGCAACTTAAGATGGGTCCCACAGTTAACCTGCTTTTTAAAAAAAAACCCAAACCACAGGACCCTAGTTTGCTCAGAAACCACCACACTTAATAGAAGATAGAGGTAGGGGTGACATACAATGCAGTAATCTGCTCATTTTAACAGCCCATCTCTCTTTTTCTCCCCAGCAATGTACAGCGGTATATGTGTCTGCGTGTTCCTTGCTGTGCTCTCAGCAAGCTCTTTCGGACAGCAAACTGTGGGCTCACACAATGAGAATCCACTGGCTGCTGAGCTTGAGCAGAGCTTGACAGAACATCACCGGCAAGTCCGCGCCCCTTCGTCTGCTGGCCCGCTGAAATCCGTGCCGCACCTGGATGGAGGCATTGACCAAAGAGCTAGCATCGGCGCTTTGTTGGCCAAGTATCTCCAGCAAGCCAGAAAAGGTACTGGTTATAGCCTACTTACTGCACTACTTCTGTGTCAGGGGAATTTCCTGCAGGGATACTGAGATGTTAAGATAACCCTGTCATCATCTAGCATGAATTCCTAGATAGCATGTAGATTTTGTCTGAAGTACAGAGCATTCTCTTATTTACTGCAAAGCTCCCCCCAAAAAAAAGATTTGTACACTGTCTCACTGACTGAGAGCTTTGTACAGGTAACTGAAAAACATGTAACCTACCTATCAGGTCATAGTTCAGCTTTTATTTTTAACTTACTATTTTCATAGCTTTATAATTACTTTGGTATTATTTCAGCATGTCGTATCTCAGATAAAATACAGTAATTGAATTTTCTTTGAACTTTTTAATTTAGTTAACCTCTTCCCTCCCTTTTTTTAAGTTAGAAGGAAAATATTTCTGAGGATCAATACAGACCAAATGGCTAACCTCACCTCAGCCAGAAATACCTGTACTGGGGAAATATTCTGAGATTTGGATTCTCCATGTATTTGTTCCCAGAGGAAGCTACAAAAGTGTGAGAGCTTTTGAAAGATCAGAATTTACATTTATGAATGCATTAACTAAAACCAGTGATAAGTAAAAGATTTGCCTCAAAATGTGTCGATTCCTGTTAGGTTTTCCATCTTAGGCAGCCTGGGAACACTTGCGGATTCTTGCAGTTACTTGAATCCTCCATGGCACTGTGTTTGTTACAAGGGCATGAAGCACTGGTAGAGTAGTGGAATTAAAGGGCTTCATTCTGACCACGTGATTTATTAGTCGCTTGAGGAAACAATTGTATTATATGCATGAGCTAGCCAGAGAAAGAATAGAGCTGTCCCTGTTAATATTTACATGGACACAGACACGTGCCGTCTTGCTACCAGTAAAAATGATGGATCCAAATCACTGAAACTCCCCCCAAGAAAATGTTTTTCCTTTTGAATTGTCTCATGCCTGTATTGCTTTGTGTCTCAATAGTGTAACACCATGGACAGCCTAATTGCTGTGGCCTTTTGACTGCCAGTCTTAGCAGAAGCCACCACAAATCTTGTTTACTTGCAATAGCTTCACTTCAGTCCATCCACTGTACTGCAGAGAAGGAGGATATCTGAGAAGCAAAGAGAGCTTGAGGATTACCTGGACATATAGACACTGAGAAATTAATTCACTCCCAGTCTCAGCCTGTGCTTAGGAAAAAACTTGCTTTTTGTAAGAGCTTTCTCCTCTCCTGTCTCTCCACACAACCTTATGCAGAACATTTAATCCTCCCCTCCTGATAGCTTCACTGCTGACCTCTGTACTGGGCAAAATTCTGTTCTTTTTTTGATGTCAGTCTGCAATTAAGAGATGCCACATGTATTTTATTCAGTCATACACATGCTTTTGCATACATAGAACAGGGTCAAAAGAGAAACAGAAAAAGGGCCACTTTTAATATAGTCTGAGAGATTTCATCTCATGTTACCAATTTGCACAATATTCATTAAGGAACTTCTTTTAGCAGTTCACATAATCTAATGTAAAAAGAATTTAGTTATGAAACTCCACAGTTCAGTGCTACACTTAAAGCTGCTGCTGAGTAAGAATCTTGCTGCAGGAGCCTACAAAGCAGAATCCTCATTACCCTTCCTCAGTGTAGTCACTGTCACCCACCTCAGTTCATGGAAAGTTTAACTCCTCATTCTAGTTTATGTAGCCATTATATGTCTAACATTTCCAAATAACTTAATCAGATGAAGTGAAAGAAAACCACTTTGAATTGAAGATGTCTTTTTGCTAAGTATTAATATGAGGGAGGATTTCCTGCATACATGTTAATTGGCACATATAATTAATTTTACAGAGTGACTGTTGGCAGATGATGGGATTTTTGTGACGTGACAAGGCTCTGGTTTGTAGATGTAGTTGCTAACTACAGAAAAGTTGAGTCACAGGAACAGGACAGTATTTACTTAATGAATGTTCCCATCAAAACATTATATTTTCATTTAACATAAAAGTTCTGGGCACACTTCAGAATCTCTGCAGAATACTCATAACTACTATATTAGTCACTTCTAACCTGCCTAAACCATAATACTCACTAGAAAATTCCATCTAGGGGCAAAGAGTCTGGGCATTTGCTAGTGTTAGCAGTCATCACTGATGGCATTTACCCTTGTGATTAATAAAGGGCTGATTTTGCCCAATATTTCCAGTTAAAACAATGAGAGAGTTAAATTCTCTCAAGAGGTTGAGGCTAGATGGCAGCCTCATAGCCAGAGTACTACGGTTTTCAATGTATTTGCTGTACATTGATTCTGCAGTATCCAGAGGACCTCTCTGGTGGTTTGAAGTAATCAAGGTGCTGTTAAGAAATTAAGTTTACTGTTTGTGACCCCTAGCTATCAATTAACTTCATCTGCAGACTTCCAGTGAAGAAGCCATTCTCATCAACTTAATTACGTATTTTGAATTATGAATGTGAATTTCATGGATTTTGAGCATTTAATGGTAGATGTTCTTTTCTAGAGATAATTAAATTTTTTTGTTTTGTTTAAGGTAAATATCTAAAACATGGTTGGGTTTAGGTTTGGTTTTTTTGTACTCTAACTCCCCTAACCCTCTGCAACCACTCACAAAACAGTGCAGTTGCTTTTGTTTTTAATGGAATGTGTTCATTATAAATCATTACATGAGGAAAACCTTGAAATACAAAAAGCAGAAAGTGACCAAGGGTGCCTTCAAAACACAAGAAACTGTAAGCATTTGTGTAGATTTAGAGTTTTGGTGTTTGATTTGAGCTTCTTTTCCTTTTTGATCAGTTCAGGTATTCCTGACGCCTCAGTCTGCAGTGAATATTGGCATATTGCATCTGTTCCTTCCTCACTCAAGGCTTAAACTCAGTCTGATTATTGGCAGATGTCAGTTATGGCTGTTTTTAGAGACTACAGAAAGAAGTAACTTACCTTGCCATGCATTTTTAGTTATGTAATGTGATGTCAAAACAGAGGATTACAGCCTTTTTTAAAAGCATTAATTCTCCTTGCAAATAGTTGGTATCTCTTTGATGCCTTAAGTAAGGAAGACAGAAAGGATAAGGAAAGATCAGAGATCAGCATCCAACCCTGCTGTGGAAGGAATTACAAAAGCTTTGGATAAGCAATGAAAAAAATCACATACCCACACACACCCCCACCCCCCAAAAAAAAAAAAACAAACAACAAACAACAAAAACCAAAACCCACAACCCTACAATGATAAGCACTGTATAATTCCAGCAATAGACATCTCTAGTTATAAATTCCAGACACAACTTTCTCCATTTCAGGACTATTCCCACTTTTCCACAAAACCTGTGATTTGTATTGCTACCCTGCTTGTTACTGAATTTGCACTGTAAGAGCTCCTGTACTTAGATTTATGGCTCTTCAAGCAACACAGGACTGTGGTGGAATCCTGTCTCAGGCCTGAGTCTGCTCCCAAGCAGAATTAATTTGCATCCAGAGCACCTCTCCCAATACCAGCAAGCAAGGGAGTGAGCTTAGAGGAAGAGGGAGAAATGGCTTGAACTTTTATCTCCAGTGAAACAGGAAGGAAGAAGGAGAAATTCACCCATATTCCTTCCTGGCAGCCAGAAGCAGAATGCTCCTGCAGCAGGAGAGAGAAAATTATCTGTTTATTTTATGATTTAAAAAACCCAAAAACAAACCCCAACAAAGCCACTTTCAGGACATTACCCATAATGTTTCTATGATGTTTTCCCCAATGACATAATGCTGTTACATGGTCTGTATTGTCAGACAGTTTCAACTATTGCAGACATCTGCTAATGAGTACAAAACAGATGAGAAAATGAATGAACCTGAAAAATGTATCTGCTCTCCCAAATGCTTTTTCTCTAGGTCCCACTGGAAGGCTCTCAGTTATGGGAAACAGGGTACAGAGCATTGATCCTACACACAGGATAAATGACAGAGACTACATGGGCTGGATGGATTTTGGACGCCGCAGTGCTGAAGAATACGAGTACTCTTCCTAAAGAAGAGCAAACTATAGCAACAGGAAAAAATCACACTCCCATGTCTGTACATAAAGAGAAAAATTAACTTGTCCTCTTTGAATCAGTGTTTTAAAATATATCATGTATTTGATGTAAATTTGTCTGTAAGACTATACAATGCAATATCTACATATGCAGAATTTTCCAGAAAATGTTTTCTTTCTTTTGTGGTTTCTCATACATTGATATTATATTAAAATGATTTCACTTATCCCTTCTTGTCCTGTCACCGCGTGTTGCTGCAGGGTGTCTTACTATAAAGAGAGGCAGGAAAATGCCTTCATTCGGCAATGTAAATATATTCCGTGTGTTGAGTAGTCAGACAAATGAGCCACTTCTCAGAGAAGTCTTTTGTCAGTCCCAGTAGCTGTGAACTCCTAAGGGGAACTTGTCCAAATATAAACACAACAGCACAATACTGCCAGAAAAGGCCAGCTGTCTTCATGGTGACCCCGTTTGTGAAGGACTGAGTTACACACTAAGCCCACGTGTTTGTAGTGAATAGTCAACAGTGCTAAAACTGAAAGAAAAAGAACGACACCAACCTGTTTCATCTTCTGGGCTTATTTATTTTATGTTGTGAACTAAATGTGAAAGTTTTGCTGATGGCTGCAAATCACGGAATAAACAGAGCATTCCCTGCTGTGTGGTGAGCCAAGCGTTCATTTGGGGAGAGGTTGAGGACAGTTCCCAGAACAGAGCAGAAGGTGATCCTGACGTGGAGGAGGTGTCAGAGCAGACTAGTTACGGTATCCTAAAAGGAAACCTGTCGCTCCCGAGTATGACAGAGGCAGCCTGAGTCAGCTATTGCCCACGGTGGGGGGGCGAAGGAAACAGATTGTGCCCAGCCCTTACCTGGCACAGCAAGGCGGAGAGTCCCCCACTCACAGCTGGGGAGTGATCCCAGCTTGTGCAAACCAGCACCCCAGGGACTGTCCGGAGAGTCCCCTCACAGTTGTCCTGCCTGCCAGCGGGCAGGCTGCTAAAAGTGTTCTGCCTGCTCTCCTCTCCTTCATGGCAGGTGAGCCCTCCTGTGGCTCCTGGGTCTGCTTCAGCAGCTGGTTCTCACATTTAAGGAATTCCATGAACTGAAAAAGGAGGTGATTTTGCGTTGCATAATGCACAGAATTTCTCCCAAATGCGTGCATTAATAAGGAGAGCATTTGTCACATGCTGAAAAGCAGGTGCTTGCCAAAGGAAAGAGGTAGGTGAAAATCTCAGCAGCAATTTCTACAGCAGCTAATAGACAAAAACAATATATAGAAACTATGACATGGAAAATATTTGTACTAAAATAAAATTCTACAAAACCAAGAAGATTCAGAAAAAAAAAATATTCCAAGGGCTAAACACAAAACCATTTTGAGGTGTTTGCAACAGCAGCTGGGAGAGCAGACAGCACCACAGAAATCTCCAATGAAAGGGGGACTTCAGCAAATGGTAAAGGGGGAATTTCATCTCCAGTGAACACCAAATATTTTTGTGGCTCTCATCTTGAAAACATGGAACTGCTTTTCTACATGAACTTTTCTTCCTCTCAAGCTCCTTCCAGTCAACCAGTTCTAAGCCACCTTTCAAATCCTTTCCAATGAGTCCCTGAACACCTGAAGTCTCTCCTTAGTTTTGACTATTTCTCACAGGAAAACAGTCCAAACTGCCCATTTCTCCAAAACTTTCAAACAACAGATTAAAACCAATTAATCTTTTTTTTTTTTTTTCAAACAGAGGAAAATACAAATTAATCTCAAAATTCATAGATTAAAACATTTCCCACCGAAGTGATGTTTCTTTAAAAGCAACTTGAGAGAAAACTACATTTCTACTTCACTGTCTTTTAAATTAATGACAGGAACCTTCAAACAACATTTTAAAATGTTTCTATCCCTGGCTTATTTAATGAAGAATATAATATGGTAATATTGCAGGGGGGCTGGGGTGGGTGATGCTACAAATCTAGCCTTATTACCGCAAAATGTGGTCATTAGGGAAAAAACAAACCTTTTTTTTGTCCTCTGTCTCATTTCCTCCAGGCAGGGGAATGGAGGGACAAAGATGTTCCCTACATTCCTCTTTCTTCTGAAGGTCTCTGAAGATGTCTATGAAAGTACGTGGCCCTCGCTGCAGCCAGGTGATGGTTTTGAGGACTTTTACAGGGGCAGATGCCCCAGGACAGGGGCATCTTTTCATTACACATAAAATGGTTTCACCACCTGGCTGCTCACAAGGCTCCCAGATAAGAGGAGCCCCATGGCCCCATCCTTTGCCATGCAAAACTTCCCTGTGAGCAAGACCATGGTCTCTGGGGCAGCTTGGGGGTCTTCACTGCCCTTGCTGTTACCAGGGTTGTGCCTTTCTGTATCCCCAACAAGTGAATAACTTCCAAGGCACCATTCCCAGCCACAAAATAATGCTTCCACCCCCACCAAGCCACCATCACCGTTGCCTTTGACTAAGCACTTGTTCATTTTAAATCACAAAATATCAATTATGGAAAAAGTAGTTTCACCTGTGAAATCTGCTTTCTCCTTGTGACACGACTGCAAGCAAAGTTGTCTGGTTTTGAAAGTGATTAAGAGAAAACATTATTTTTCTTTGCCAGCCCACCACCAGCGTGACATTTGTAAGTAATCACATCTGCCACCTTTCCTGGATGCCAGAGAGCTTCAGAGAAAACTTGGTCTAATTTTTTTTTACAGTCACTGCACACACCGGTTTTAATATTTAAGGTGTACCAGTGCTGTAAAATAGACAAGAGGAATAAACAGACTTGCAGGAACTCACCTGGCATCCAAGTAAGTATTGAAAAGATACAAAATTTAATATATTTTTTTTCCTATCTCCAGACTGAAGACTCTAGCCAGTCGGTACAAGTAAATGAGGGCCCTCTTCTGACTGGGCATTGAAATCACTATCAAATGAAAGTGCTTTGCAGCTGGTCTGATCCTGCTGCTGTTGGCTGCATTTGCAGACTCTTCTTGGGTCCTCCTGTCTCTCAGTCTTTTAGCAGAAAACATCTTACTGAACCTCACTGGCTTTCAGGCAGGTGTTGCATTGCCCAGCCCTGACAAATCTGCCTGGATGGGAGCACTGGGCAGAGCAGGAAGTTCAGGATTGCAAGTCAGGACCCACTGGCCTAAATTATGCCAGAGTCCCTTTTTATCACTTAAAATCCAGCTCAGGACTATCATGGTTTTTCAGGTGCTGCTAAAATACAAACTTGTAGCTGCAGGGGATGTCTCCATTCTTAACACTCACAGGAGTGCTGGTGCAAGGGCAACTGCAGTAATCATCAAGTTAAGAGGAACTGTTGCTCAAGAACACAGTACTGTTTCTGGGGACAAAGGGGAGCTGGCTATAAGCAGCTTAGCAACATCCTCCTCCTCAAAACATCTGTCACCTGCTCCTCTGGGAGCAGAAGAAATTCCCCTGATGGGAAAGGCTGCTGAGACACCATTCAGCTCCGGGCTGACCTGGAGGTGCTAATCGGAGCTGAACAGCGTGGTCAGCCAGTTTGGGAAAGTCAAGCAATGTCCAGGGCATTAGTGAAGCCACCCTCCAGGCTCTGTTTTAACCCAAGGAACACAGCAGCCTTGGGGATGGAGCCCTTGCAGCTGGGTAGGAGCCCCTCGGCTCCAGCGAAGGCTTTGGGCTGAGAAGTGCCTCGCAGATTTCAGCAGGTACAACAGCACACTGGCACAGCCTCCTGGTGCTTGTCTGGGAGGTGTTTCCCAGCACTGCCAACTCACTGACATTTAATTTAGCTCAACTCAAATGTATCTTTATGGAAGGCCGTGGGTAGGGGCTAAATTAACACTGGCAAAATAGCAAATCGATGCCTTTTTGCATTTAAAGACAGCTTGTTTTCTCCATGTGCTTGGTTCAATTCTGTTTCAGCTTTATTAACTTTATTTCAATACAGGTGCTGGGCAAATCTCTGTGAACAGAGCAGCTTAACTGCAAACTCCATGTGAATGAGCGGGTAAGAGCCTGTGGTTCTGCCCTTGCAGGGCTGAAAGGGCTCTTCCTGGGAGTGAGGGGAAATCCAGGCAGCCCCCCAAGAGCAAGGGAGCACTCACACCCCGGGGGTGGAGCAGGTCTCCCCAGGAGCTGGGGCAGTGTGTAAGAGAAACCTCAGCTGCACCAGTGTCCCTGATCCTAAACAGTTTCATCATTTCAGACAGGAATGTGTGTGGATCATGCTCTGCTCTCCACAGTTTGCTGCATCACCAGCCCCTCTGTCCTCGCTGCATGGGGGACAACAGCTGGGCTGGGCCAGGGGCACATTGCAGCCAGATGTTGCCAGCTGCAGCCCAGCTCTGCGTGTTTCAGTGAGTGCAAACCAGTCTGTCCCTCTCCACCGCCTAAGAGGAGAAATTTGCAAGTCAGAAAAAATGCAAGCGTTCCAACGTCCTAGCAGAGCAGTGAAAGGTTTTTCTATACGTTTGATTTTTGTATCACCCGAGTTCTTTAAAATGCTCTTAAAGAAAGAAAAAATTCTGGCTGTGAACTTGTTAAAGCTTTAAACATTCCTAAGTGCCTGTGTCAATTGAAAAGCAATTGGATTCAGCACAGCTTGAAACCTATTTCAGCAGGACAAAAATCCCTATAATCTTTTAAATACAAGCATTATTGGCTTCTTGAATATATGCCATTCTCACATGAAAGCCCACTGCCTACGTTACAGCTAAGGACTTTGCTAAACACCAATAACTTTCAGCCTTTTATTATTTTCCTTGTTATTCTGTGGTCTCAACCAGCTTGTTAGTAGAATTAAAGCAGGTCTGAACGGCACCCAGCGAGATGCCACAGCACGGCTGAATACTGATTCTTCAACGTGAATACGAGCTACAGGCAGCAGATCCTATCTGCGCTGAAGGAAGGCAGGACACATCTCACTGATAGTGCTGGACTTTCCAATTTGATGTGGAGAGCTGCTGGCAAATGTGTTCAGGAAGTCGAGAACAACTGTTAAACCTCTGTGCACTACATCATGTTGCGGGGCCATCCAGTGCTTTGGAGACATGCAAAAGTCAGCTGGGAAGAGTCTCAAAGGCTGGAATACCAGTCTTGGCTCTCCAAAGAACATCTTACGTGTCCACAGTCCAGCCTTAGACACACAATCCTTGGCAACTCACCCTCCTCTCACCTCCAACCCAGCTTTCAGAGGTGGATGACCACGTTCCTTGCTGTAGCATGGTGAAGACATGTCCAGTAAGGTTTCTGATGTTTAGATATTGCAAGGATGGAGTACCCTTTCAGAGCAGAGGCACCAATTCATCAGGCATTTGGCTTTCTGAGGTTTAGTTTAGGCAGTAATTCTGTTCTGCTTGGAATCATCTGAGTACATTAAATACATTGGCTGAGTTTCCAGATAGCTCATGCAGTCTTTATTGCCCTGTGGTGTAATTTACCATCCTGAAGGAGAAACTAAGACACTCTCCAGCATTGTGTCCAGAAGCAGAAACTGGGTGTTTCCTCCAAAATCCACTGAAATCTCTAAGGTGAAGCATCTCACAGAGAACAGTCCTGCACCCTGGTAGTTCTCCTATCCTTGCACAATCTCCAGTTGCTCCTTTTGTATTTTGAGGAGTTGGGCCTGACTTAGCCTTGATTTCCCTTGACCTCAGTGGGCTGAACTTACTC